TCAGCATACATTTATTTTTGTGTTTATTTTACACAAAGAATTGAGAATGCAGCTCTGCAGTGATAGTGAGTAACCTTTCCAGCCTTTGCTTCTTTCTTCTTTAAATATAGATGCTGACAGAAAAGATGGATTAGATGCAGTCTACTTTTTCCTCAGTTGGCTGATCTTTTTGAGAATTATAAACCATGAAACTAAACTGAGTAAATGTTGGTAGTTTATTGCATGCAGCACCATAACTTCCAGTCACATTGGCACATATAACAGCCCCAAAAAACTACGGAAAGTACTTATGAATTCTTGAAATCACTTTTTGGCAAGCTATGGTTGGATTTTCTCCTGTTCTCATATATTCTACAGCTTGGTAGCTTGGTAGAAAACGCATCAGTATGTCCCCATCCCCAGTGACTGCAGCTGCTCCCGCAGTATCATCAGCATAGGCCCCAGCTCCAGGTATCGGCGAATCTCCTATTCAACCATGTATTTTGAATTTTATACCATTTGTAGATGTACCAGCAGCAGTGCGTCCCATCTTATGGATTACAACCATGCCAATAGTATCATGACCATAATTATCGCCTGTTTCTTTATAGGTAGAACCATCTTGCTTTAAGATACTCGGTGGTTTGTAAGGTCCATAGTATTTTGAAGCATCTGGTATAACATTCCTCCAATAATTTGGCTGGCAATTCCGAGCAAGCCAGTCTGAATGAAGAACTTGAGAAGTATTGGTAGATAAATCCTCATTGACAAACCCCATACTTTCGGCAAACTTGGTGGCTGACTCTCCTACTAAAAGTGTGTGTGTTGTATGTTCCAGTACTTTTCTTGCCACACCAATAGCATTTTTAATTCGTCTAAGATCTTCTACTACTCCTACATTCATAGTAGTGCCATCCATGATCATGGCATCTAGTGTGGTTTCTCCAAACTCATCAGGACTTCCTCCAAAGCCGACAGTTCCATCACACTGCTCCCTCTCACACACAGCACAGCCCCTCTCCACAGCATCCAGGGGGGAACCTCCAGACGCTAATGTACTCCACACTGCTTCGGTTGCATTCTTAAAAGGCCAAGTGTTGAGGACCAGGGGGAGGGGGCTGGAGCTGCGCACGAGAGCTGGGCTGAGCAGGAACCGTATGAAGAGCACAAGGTTTGACATCCGCGCCATCGGGCCTGAGGGTCTGCCGAGTCCTAGAAAACGATCCTTTTTTGAAGCGACTGATAACTGGTGATGAGAAGTGGATTGTTTACAACAATGCAGTGTGCAAACTGTCTTGGTCCCGACATGATGATTCGCCTCAAAGGACATTGAAAGCAGACATTTATCAGATGAAGGCTATGCTTTCAGTGTGGTGGGATTTTAAAGGTGTCGTGTTTTTTAAGCTCCTACCAAGGAACCAAACAATCAATTTGAATGTATACTGTCAGCAATTGGACAGTTTGAACTAATCCATTATCCAGAACGTCCAGAGCTTGTTAACTGTAAAGGAGTTGTGTTCCATCGCAACAACGTGAGACCACACACAAGTTTAATCACCCGTCAAAAATTACTGGAGCTTAGATGGGATGTGTTGCCACACCCACCATACTCGCCTGACCTTGCGCCATCAGACTTCCACTTGTTTTGCTCTCTTCAAAACCCCTTGTGTGGTATAATATTCAATTCAGATGAGGCTGTAAATCAGCACCTTGTTCAGTTTTTCACAAATAAAGACAGGTCCTTCTATGAACGAGGAATCATGAAGCTCACTGAAAGATGGCAAAAGGTTATTGAACAAAACAGGCAATATGTCATTGATCTTTATTCTTTATATAAATAAATGACCTTTGAAAAACATAGACAAAATACGTCATGACTTTTCTGACAACCCAATAGAAAACCCTAAGGACTCAAAAAAAAAAACCTGATAGAACTAATAAATCAATTCAGTAAAGTTGTAGGATACAAAATCAATATACAAATATCAGTTGCATTTCTATAACTAACAATGAACAATACAAAAAGAAAACAATCCCACTTGCATTAGCTTCAAAAAGAATAAAATGTTTAGGAATAAACCTAACTAATCAGGTGAATGACTTGTGTAATGAAAACTTCAAAACATTGATGAATGACATTATAGAAGACAAAAATTATTGGAAAGACACCCTGTGTTCATGGATTGGAAGAATTAATATTGTTAAAATCTCCATACTACCTAAAGTGATCTATAGATTCAAAGCAATCTCAATCAAAATCCCAGAGGCATTTTTTTCAGAAATAGAAAAAAAAAATCCTAAAATTCATATAGAACCACAAAGGATACAGACTAGTCAAAACAATCTTGAGAAAAAGAGAACAAAGCTAGATACATCATACTTCCTGATTTCAAAATCTATTACAAAGCTATAGTAAATAAAACAGTGTGGTACTGGCATAAAGACAGACGTATAAACCAATAGAACAGAAAATGGAGCACCAAAGTAAACCCACGCATATACAGTCAACTGATCTTCAACAAGGGTAGGAAAAATAAAAATAATAGGAAAAGGAAAAGGGTAAATGGTGTTGGAAAAACTGGATATCCACATGCTAAAGAATGAATTTGGATCCTTACCTTACACCAGGGGTGTCAAACTGGCGGCCTTCAAGGTAATTTTTTGTGGCCCACGATGCTCTGAAATAAAATGAAAATAGAAAAATTGTTATGAAGAAAATAGCTCTTAGGAAGATCGAGGCAATACCGTACACACAATTCCCTTGTTAACCCTTTAACTACTGAAGACAAGTATACAAAAAATTACCTCGAGGGCTTCATGCGGCCCACAGGCCACCAGTTTGACACCCCTGCCTTACACCATATACAAAAATTACTCAAATGGATTAAAGATTTAAACATAAGAGCTAAATAACTAAAACTAGAATAAAATATAGGGGAAAAGCTTCAGACAGTGGATTTGGCAATGATTTCTTGTGTATGACATCAGAGCAAAGGCAACAAAAGTAAAAATAGACAACATCAAACTTTTATACTTCTGTGCATCAAAGGACACAATCAATAGACTGAAAGAGTAAGTGATGCAGTAAGAGAAAATATTTACAGACCACATATCTGATAAGAGGTTAATAACCAGAATATATAAAAAACTCCTATAACTCAAGAACAAACAAATAACCTGATTAAAATATGGGCAAGGACTTGAACAAACTTTTCTCCAAAAATGATATATAAATAGCCAACAGACAAATGAAAAGATGCTCAACATCACTAATCATTATAAAAATGCAAATCAAAATCGCCTCACACCCATTAGGATGGCTACTATCAAAAAAACAGGAAATAGGGCAGCCGAGTGACTCAGTTGGTTAAGAGCTCACTCAAGAGTGCGAGCTCTGAACAACAGGGTCACCAGTTGGATTCCCGACCTGAGCGAAGCTAAAAAAAAGAAAAGAAAAAAACAGAAAATAGCTAATATTTCCATACAGTACAGCAATCCCACTTCTGGGTATATATGCGAAAGAACTGAGAACAGGATCCTAGAGAGATTTTCACACACCCATGTTTATAGCAGCTTTATTCACATGAACCAAGAGGTGGCTGGAACCCAAATATCCATCAATAGATGAATGGACAAACAAACTATGATATTCAGACAATGGACTATTATTCAGCCTTAAAAAGGAAGGAAATACTGGCCGTGCTGCAACATGGAAAAAGTTGAGGACATTATGCTAAGTAAAATAAGCCATCGCAAAAAGACAAATACCGTATAATTCCACTTATATGATGTATCTAAAGTAGTCAAATTTATAGAAACAGAAAGTAGAGTGGGGATCACCAGGGGCTGGGGGTAAGGGGAAATGGAAGTTTTAACTTTGCAAAATGAAAAAAGTCCTAGCGATCTGTAGCCCAATAATGTGACTATACTTAACACCACTAAACTGTACACTTAAAAATGGTTAAGATGGTAAACTCTATGTAATAGGTTTTACCACAATTTAAAGAAAACTTATACTCTCAAAATTACAAAACATTGTTGAGAGGAATTAATGATCTAAGTAAATGAAAAAACATCCCATACTCACAGATCAAAAGACTTAATATTATGAAGATTTCAATACTTCCCAAATTGCTCTACAGATTAAACACAAAATTACATGGAGAAGTTTACAAAACCACAATCAAAGTGAGAGATTTTTATTTTTTCTCTCCCAGTAATTGATGCATCAGACAAAAACAAAACAAACAAAAAAAACCACTTTAATTTAGATATAGAAGTTTTGAACAACATAATTATCAGACTTGATTAAATAAACATATCCGATATGTGACAATTAGAAAAGTTACATTCTTTTCAGAAACACATTAATTTGCAAGAAATGGCATTAGTACACAAATCATGTCTCAAGAAATTTTAAAATAACATTATCAGAGGTTTTACTCTCCGACCACAAAAGTGAAGTTCGGTAAAAATAAAAAAATCATGGCTGAGTAATATTCCATTGTATATATGTACCACCTCCTCTTTGTCCAATCAGCTATCAAAGGACACTTCAGTTGTTTCCATGTCTATTGCTCAGCCACAAGAAAAGATGAAATACTGTTATTTGCGACATGGATGGATCTTGAAATTATCATGCTAAGCAAAATAAGTCAGACAGAAGAAGTTGAGAATCATATGACTTCACTCATATGTGGGATAGAAAACTGAAAGCAACCAATGAACAAGACAAACAAGGAAAAACTCATAGACACAGATAAAAGTTTAGTGGTTATCAGAGGGTACAGGAGAAGAGGAGGTAGGTAAGGGGGGTCAAATATATGGTGATGGAAGGAGAACTGACTGGGTGGTGAACACACAGTGCAATATATAGATGATGTGTTATAGACTTGTACACTTGAAACCTTATAATTTTACTAACCAATGTTACCCCAATAAATTTAATAAAAATAAATAATAAATAAAAAATCATAAATAATATCATTTGTAAGTTTAAAAATACACTTCTAAATAATTCATATGTAAACGACTAAAGTATAATTGGAAAACTTGATTACCTATCAAACTATGAAATGCAGCTAAATCTTAATGCCTAGAAGAAAATTTATAACTTTTAAATGCTTCTGCTTGACAGAAGAAAAACAAAAAGAAATTGCAAGTGCAATCAGTCAATGGTGCAAGCTTTGAAAAGAAGAATAAAAACTATTATTAACAGAGGAAATGTATAAATAGGAAATCCAAAATTAGATTTATGGAGAAATTATTAAAATTACTATGTGAGTTCAGCAGGTTTACTGGATATAATCTATTATAAAAATCTATAAAAGTCTATTGTCTTCTTATATGAAATCAATAAGCATTTAGAGATATACTTTTAAAAGATCCTATTTATAATAGCAACAAAAATAAGATCCCCAGGAAAACAGCTAAGAAAAACATGTATAATAGGTTTATGGAGGAAATATGAAAGTTTATTGAAAGACACTATAGAAAGCTGAAATAAATGGAGTGGTCTTCATGGATAGAAAGACTCAGTGTTACAAAATCATTAGTTTTCCTCAAGGTAAACCATCCAATGCAATTTTAACAAAAAAAATTTTAGACAGTTAAGCTATTAAAACATTGTGTATTTCACAACAAAATCAATTTTAAGTTTAATAGAGTAGGAGGGAGTTTAGTGAAACTTGAAAATGAAAAGGGAGGTAGAGTTCTAATAGCACTTTGATTGACTATCTCAGAAAGAAACACACATCAGGCACACAAAATTGGCAGATTTTAGAATCTTGGCTGCTTATATTTTGCTGTAGCTTTTCCTACTGTTATTAACTATAAAACCCTTAAAGGAGCTTTTCTTAGGAGTCTAAGAGATGAGATCAAGTGGCTGTGGAGACTACATCACCCACCTCTTTTTGCTAGGTTGTGGAGGAAAATAAAAGAGTAATCACAGCCGCAAAGGCAAGGAAAAAAGACTAAGACCCAGGGGCCAGCCACACAGATGGAATGGAAATTTGGGGAACCCACGTGGGCCTGGAAAGGCCTGTGAAGTTTTCTGATAGGATGCTTGCAACCAATGGCATCACAATACAAATAAAATTAATAAAAAACGGGAAAAAAACGCAAAAGTAAGTAAGCTAATTGTACTAGCTGTAAGAGTTACTCTGTACTATGATCAAGTTCAAATTTGAT